AAACTAAACTAAACGAAAAATATAGAATACAGAAAACCAATGAATTTCACTCTTCTTGTATGTAATATGTTTCTTTTATTACTAACAGAAAGAGAAAAATATAGAACAAGAATAGTGAATCGTAACTGGTGATACAGTCTATAATTATCAATGTGTAATACAAACTGATAGTGGTCAGTAGGAAAAAAATTGTTATATCTCGCCTTAGGATCCACCTGCAGGGCAGGGCGGTGCAGAAGTTTCCACACTCAGCTTCTGCCTGTGCAGAACAAAAGATATTTTTGCTAACCTGCAATGCGGATAAGTTTTATTTCACCCCTGCGCGGTACCTCGCAGGGGTGAAAAATTATGCAGGTGATCAGCTCTGGTGCATACGGATCAAAGATGGAGGACTAGAGACCAACTGCTCTCCGGGAAGATTGGAAAGTTGACTGAGTAAAATGGAACATAGACGAAATTAGAACATCTACAAACTCATGAGAGTTTGACTATTTTTCAAGAAGAATTCATCTATGCCTATATAAGCTGATTCATTATCGTTTCACATATTCTAGTATAACCCTCCTCCACAAAACAGGAGGTCAGTCCGAAACGAAAAGTTTTGGAAAACGCCCTGCAGGAGTAGGGCAGTCTTTCACCAAAAAGAGTGCGATGTGCGAAAATAGAAGACCATGTCATTATATGATAGTACTGTAACTTTTATCATATATAGTATTGTAGAATTCACTATGAAATCAATTATCTCAACACAAACGGCAAGGTCCTTGAAAAAGATATACTCATCTTCCGAGACTAATTATAGATGAACTAAAATATACGTAGAAAAATTAACTTCAGATGTGGTCATCTACAAGTGTTCGAGATTCGACTAATCCTTTTCCCCAATCTGTAAGATCAACCATAACCTAGAACGAATAGCTGAATCGAACTAGAAAAATGGTACGGAAAGAAAGAAAGAAAGAAGAATTTTGCTAGGCAATGTTCAGAGTGAAAAGCAATAAGTCGCCTGAGTTTCACTCAGTCGACTTAAAGAACTAGATACCGACTATGCTGCACATAGATTGGAAAGTCTACTGAATGAAACGGTAAACAGATGAAATTAGAACATCTACAAACTCATAACAGTTTGAGTTGAAGAAGAATTCCTATATTCCTATATCAGTTGATTCATTGTCGTGTCATATATTCTACTATCGTATAGCTCTCATCGTATCCAGTACTGTAGCATATATTCACTATGAAATGAATCACGTGACAATTAACTATCTCATACAAGAAGCGATAGAGTTTTCTAAAAAATATAGTCGTTTTGTGTCACTAATTATGCGATAACTAAAGCAAATATTCAAAAACTAACTTCAGGTGTGTCATCTACTCTCTCTGCATTTCGGAATCATTTTTTTCCCAAACCTGTACGATCAGAGATAATTAAGAACAAGTGTCTGACTCGAACGAGCAAGTACAGTGTGAACTTTTTAAAAGAAAGAAACTTTTTTCTGGGTGAAAAGCAATAAGTCTCCTGAGTTTCACTCAGTCAGATATTAAAAATATTGCTTAAGAATATTGCTAAGCAACGCTCAAAGTTAAACAGAATATGTCTCCTTATCACTTCACTCAGAAAACTTAATAATGAAATCAGAACGAGACAAGCTGCATTCATATGTTTATATGACCTTCTCCTGTCATCATAGTATAACATATGATGTCAAGAACAGGAGGAAACGAGAGCAAACGAATGGGCCTAGCGGAAAGGGAGGACAATTAACAATGTTCAACAAACGGAAAGTAGGCAAAAAATTGGCGAAAACTTGCAGGATTTAGTTCATCTACATCGTAATCATTCGTATCGTATTTTTCTCCGTCCATAACGTGACGGCAAATCAAAAGTTATAAAGGATTTTTTCTTTTTATCTGTTATGACTAAAGAGAGCTCGCCGAGTTATCTTGAAAATAGCGATTTTACAATTAAAAGTTAGTTTTAGGTAACAAAACGTCGAAATACTGAAATTCTGAAAATACGCAAAAAACAATATAATTTTCAAAAATAAATACAAATATATCGTATCATGTCTATATATCGGTATCACACTTCGCAAAAATCTTTTGAGAAAAAATTATTTCTTCCGTAGAAACGGTCTAATCTCAGACGGTCTCTTAACTTTTGGTTTTCATGCTATACATGACAACAGTTCCATTCGTCTATGACAATTTTCATGATATTTTTAACATCATTCCTCGTAGCCACTTTTGTGGGTATACATGGAAAATGTATTTTGCAATAGGTTAGATATCAATGGGATAATAAGAAAACGATCTTGAAAAGCTTTTTTGGTTTGAGTTTGAATAAAATCCGTGCATACTCAACTATTAGAATTTTCGAAAAATAGATGATTTTGAGCTCACGATAGAATAAAACTAAAATATTTTCTCCAAAATACTTTGTGAGATACGGATACACCAATACATTATTGGTATCGATGCATGCCTACAAATAAGAAAACTTTTCCACTTTATAGTTTTTTTCTCATCTTTCATAAAAAAAAACTGGCTGTAAGGCATCAACTTTAGGCGAATTCAAAGTCTAAATGACAAAAAAATTATTAAAAGACGAGTAGAATGCTTGAGGTAAGTATTACCCTCCTTCTAAACCTATCTAATTATTTTGGTTAAAAGACTAAGCATTCTTTCCTATATGCTAGAATACAAAATGACTGGCTTTCGAATTTTTCTCTCAATAATCAATAGTCTAAAACTCTTTGTGCACGTTCCGAAGGCACGTTAATGGAGAACATCCAGTTCATCGATGAGTGCCCTAGAGAATGTACTTGATGCAAGTATTTGATTACTTGCTAAGTGCTTGGACAAATTGGGGAGTGTTTTCAAAATTTCTTAGTTGCCATGTACTTTCAGAAGTACTTCTCGATGATAAAAATAGTTGCTTTTATTGCTAAGAAGTCATTCTGAAAGTCCTTGGCAAGTAAAGACTCTTTTGTCACCCTAAACCAAAAGTATTTTTCTGCTTGACCAAAAAACTAAAAGTGTTTTTTTAAAAAGAGTCGAAGAGTTTTCTAGCTTTGGTAAAAACCAGAAGAGTTTTTTCCTAAACGCATTTGGTATAGGGAAACAGTGTTTTGGGGTTTTCAAGTAGCGAAGGATTTTCTAGTTTGAGCAAAAAATCAAAAGGGCTTTTAAAATGAGTTAATCAAACACTTTATGTTTCGAAATCCAACAAACAATTTATCTTAACGTCGGTGACCATTATGTAGCGTTTTCTATATAAAGAAAGCGAGAAAAAGAAAAACTTCTGATACGCGATCTCTCAAAATAAAGTGTTTAATAGGAAAACACTTTTTTTTCCTTTTTTTCTTAAGCAGGAGGTTACACATGATGTGTCATGTCATCTGCTCTGTCTTCGCTATTTTTTGAATCATTTATTGCATAGGGTGATGCTCCGCGATATTTTCAACCTTTGAATTTTTTTCTTCAAGCCTTTCCGGTTTGTGGAGGATACGTCGAAGTATATGTCCTGAAGTTTTCTCAGCTTATTGACATTATCTGGCTGAGAGAAAAATTAATTACTTAGAAGAATGTTGTTAAGTTTTTGAGCACTGGGCTGCTACTATAAAATTTCCTATCTATTCTCCATTAATCATAAAAACTTGGTTCTTGTCTGAATCGATAGAGAAATGCGTGGAGAATATTTACTACGAGAAAAGATGTAAAAAATTTTGTTATTTTCTTCCTGTTATTGACTAATTAGTACCAATTAATGTTAAATTAGCCTAGTCTGCTAGCTTAAAGTCTCATTTGTAAAATAACAACTCAACAAAAAATTTCAAGCAATACCTCATCTGATACAGAATTTCATGGGCTACAACACAGATTATCTTAGAAATTTCAGAATTTATTTTTGGGAGCTGAGTAGGTTTGGTTTCTTTCCCCACGAAAGAATGAATCAGGTGTCTTGCTATGGGTCTGTAGAAGTAAAACGAGAGACAGTAACTAAACGGAAAAAACAAGCTCGTTTTTATTTTTTCGTTGAGGCGTTATTTTATTACCACCGATGGATCACATCACCGCGAATGTGTTAAAGTAATTGACATACTGATTTCACCATGTTTTACCCGGTTTTCTCTTCGCGAACATAATGCTTTAGTTCTGCATTAGAAAAGTAAAACGCAGATAAAAACTGCAAAATGTTCGGATATAAAAGTGATCTTCACACCACTTTCAGAATAAGTGTCTTGTTAAAACAGACAGACACTGCTTTTTTGTCTCGTCTGAAATGATAAGAAAAACGTCGATGTCTACAGCGTGCGTATAAAAGAAAAAAAAAGATGGTGACAACGGTAGTAATTTTTGTTTTAGATGTCAGTTTTGCTTAATTCCTACTTATAAACATTTTTTTTCACTAAAAATAGGGTTAATATCAGGCTCAATATAAGTTCAAAGTGAATCGAATATTAAGCGACAATAGAGAAACACGCGAATAATATTAACTTGAAAACAATCCAAGTACTTGCAATTTTACTTGACAAGCGCTTGAACAAGTGCTTGTCAAGTGAAAAATCAAGTACTTGCATACTGGACAAATACTTACATGTAAATTTACTTCTGGAAAAAAGACAAGTACCGACTTCATTACGCAAGCGGAATACTTGTCCCAAGTACTTGGGCACAAGTACGGTCTCAAGGTGTACACAACTTTGGAAGCTCTTTCTAGCTAGAACTGTAGGAACGCTTTTAGATACCAGATAAGGTGAAAAGTTCGCTGCATTATTGCTCTAAAAATATTTAAAAAGCTACTGAGTCCCCTACAGAACGTTCTTGATGAAAGTTCTTGACTACTTGCTAAATACGTGGGAAAATTGGCAAGTGTTTTCAACATTTCTCAGTTGCCATGTGCTTTCAGAAGTACTTCTCGATGATAAAAATATTTGCTTTTATTGCTAAGAAATACTTTCTGAAAGTCCTTGGCAAGTAAAGGCTTTTTCATCACCCTAAGCCGATAAACGCGCATTTAAAAGCCAAGCATGTTTTTCTGTTTGACCAAAAAACTAAAAAGTGTTTTCTAGAAAGAGTCGAAGGGCTTTCTAGTTTTGGTAATAACCAGAAGAGTTTTTTCCTAAACCCCTTGATATAGGGAAACAGTGTTTTGGGTTTTTCAAGTAACGAAGGATTTTCTAGTTTGAGCAAAAAATTAAAAGGGCTTTTTAAAGAGTTAATCAAACACTTTATATTTCGAGATCCAACAAACAATTTATCTTAATGTCGGTGAACTCTTATATAACGTTTTCTATATAAAGAAAGACTGAAAAAGAAAAACTTTACGGGATCTGTCAAAATAAAGTGTTTCTTAAGGTAATTGACATACTGATTTCACCATGTTTTACCTGGTGTTCTCTTCGGGAACATAATGCTTTAATTCTGCTTTAGAAAGTTAAAACGCAGATATAAACTGCAAAAAGTTCGAATATAAAAGTGGTCTTTTATTTTGTTGTTTTAATTTATTAAACCATATCTTACTCTTTTGTTTAGGTTTCTTTTTATCTTAGGTCTCAACACTTCTAAACACTCTTTTTTGACTAAAAATATTGTTAAAATCAGCATTTTTTTGGATAAGACAGGCTAGGACCGCTCGCCACTATCTACTTACATGAATACTATACATATGCGTAGGAAAACGTGTTGTCTTTGTGGACTTCAGACATGGAATAATATAAACTCACAAAATGAATATTAAACGACAATAGGGAAACAGTCGAATAATGTTACCTAGAAAACTATCCAAGCACTTACAATTTTACTTGACAAGTGCTTGAACAAGTGCTTGTCAAGTGAAGAAGTACTTAGAAGTAAATTTACTTCTGGAAAAAAGACAAGTACCGACTTCATTACGCAAGGGGAATACTTGTCCCAAGTACTTGAGCACAAGTACGTTCTCTAAGGATCATGATCTAGGAACAATCTCATCAGACTTGACTGTCAAAAGGAACACGAAGGAGTTCCTACATACTTCTAATGGTAATATACAGTGCACATAGTCGGGTCTTGTAACAGCTTTTCCGTGCGACTCTTCTAAGAACATTACCCCGATGTCTTGTTGGTTTTCAAACTCAGTAATACTGCCGTATAAGTACTCCATCATAGTGTGTATTTTTCAATATAATTAAGACTTTGAACTGTCGATAAACTCGATTTGATGGTATCTCAAGTGGAAAAGCATCCTAAACGCTTCATCAAATAATATTAAAAGCATGTAATTTTCTTTACATATAAAAGTACTAAAGTTTAACGGACGTTATATAATCTGAGTAAAACTCATCATAAACACTATCTTTTTTGGCGTAGGAATACAATAAATAATTAATCTATTGTTTCTTGTACTCAAAGCAAACGAGCCAACAATTTTCCTCATCAAAAAAATACACTATGTAAGTTGCACTTACCATTGAATATTAGTTGAACATAGGGATCGGGCTGGCCAAAACGATCCGGCGGTACATTTTGTGCAAAATGAACAACAGCTGTCAAACGTCCATTATCATTTTTACTGTTAGCACTAGCCGGGGATGTCATACTATTATGAAATTTTCCTTAGAATGTGTCTTTCTATATTTTATACAAAACCACTGTCATTGTGTGCGTAACGTGACTTGTTCTGTTCTTCATAGGCATTTACTACGCAATCATATTGTACAAAAAAAGTGCGTTACATGCATAATTAACTTTTTTTTCTCAATGAAACAGGTATCTTTTTTGTATTAATCTTGATTCTTCGGATGAATAAACATAAAAACTAGTTATTAATCGGGAGTGGGATGAAATGAATTTGATGCAAAAAATTATAATGTTATCGGGCTTAAGTAAAGTCGAAAATATTATATTTAGAAACTATACTTATATTCTATGATTCTGAGTGGAGTCAGTGTTCGCTAAGATTTGAGCGTACAATGGTATAGTAGCGATGCATTATAATGGCAGAGTCTCATCAGACACAATCTTGCAATAAAATAACAGTCAGTATACTGTAAGATTGTGTTTGATGAAGTCCTGCCATTATAATGCATCGCTACCATTAGAAAATTAGGTGATTTTGCTAATTTTTTAAATTTGATGGAACTAAGATGATATAGTCAGAATTTCAAGGCAAATCCAACAGCGAGTTTCCTTTAATTTCATTCTGAGTTTTTGATAAGATCGCCACGGTCTCTACAATTTCTTATAATAAATTTAGGCGTTTTTTCTCTTCTGTCACATTTTTTCTTCTTTCTTTCCTCCTTTCCACTACCACATTTTTTCTTGTTTTTCTCTTTTATATATAGACAATGCATTTGACCATGGAATAACAGATAGAACAAAATTTATTCTAACTGTAGGTTCTTTTATAAAAATGTTATGGTCATAATTCATATTCAGTTCAATTTCAAATTGGGCTAGTCATAATTATGACTAGGCATAAATCATATCAGAAATATTATTGGACGCAGTCATAATACAAAATTTTCCATTCAACAGTATGATCAAGGCTATTAATGAACAAAATTAGTTCTTTTTAAATTATCTTTGTCGCCAAAACCAAAATATTTCTTTGCGTTGATCAAGTGAATAACGCAAAAAACCTGCAAAAGCGTAAGTGGCGCGACACAAAAAATGGTTACAAAAGCGACATTTTGCAAAATTTTGCATACTCTTCTAGGACAAAATATTTATAAGATTTTGTATTAGTTCGACTAATACAGAATTTTGTAAATATGTTGTTTTAATACAAAATTTCGCTGTTGTAACCATTTTGGGCGTGAGGCCACTTGTGTTTTCTCCATTTTTTTTTGCGTGATGATCCAAAAGAACTTTTACAATTTCTACATGGTTAAAGTCAGATAGCCATGTTCTTAACTTCCCTGTTCAACAGTAGATTGTCATTCTAACGCTAGTAGAGCTGGTACTGATCTGCTTCAGCGCACACAAGTGGCACGATACGATGCAGGATATAGCTTTTCTAAAATGCTTTCACAAGGCAGGATAAAAAAATCCTAATATTTCGACCGAATCTTAATATCGATTTCTTGTTCAACAGCTAGACTAATCCATTCTATTTACATTCATTGGTTAGAATAGTTCGCTTGTTCAAACCAGCCTAAAGCAAATCAGACCGTAGTCGTAATTCAAACGACGGGGTGAAAAATCCTGTAGGGAATCGGCCCCTTCTCAAAATGTTTTAATTTCGATGTGGATCGATAGAAAATTCAATGTTCGTTGGTTTTCCATATCCTTCGGAGCTTCGAAATGCATTATCGGACATTCGATGCGTCGATGAATAAAGAACGGAGGTCGACCAGAGGCAAAATCGCCCCCTCTCAGATCAAGCTCATTTTCACAAGTCCGAAGTAGTTTTTCTCCATGATTAAAACTAGCACCTCACAAAAATCATTTTCACCTCCCCTGGGGAAAATTCCGCATCCAAAGTTTTCTCCCCTTAAATGAACTTTATTTAGAGTATTTTCCCCATTTCTTCCCCTTGCCCAAAGCAAACCTCAACTACTCTATATCATTCGATACAGAACTTCACGGGCTACAAAATGATATATATAAATTACTGAGAACAAATGAGGCCTTGGTGTCATAACAGTAGAAATATTAGCCCCGACTTCCACAAACCCATAGGTCAACAGCGTTCCTTGCTTACATTGTCCAGCCAATTTATCGTTAATCACGCCACTTTACATATCATTCGGTAGAGAATTTCAGGGGTTACAAAATGATATATATAATATTGAGAAAAAATAGGGTCTGGATGTTATCGATGGATAGGCTATACAGAACTCGATGCGATCTTTCATTTGACACCAACTTCAGTGTTTTATGTTAGGGAATGTAGTCAGCAGACGTTCTACAAGTTAGGCCAAATCCGCCGGAAAATGATGGAAATGCATTTTTCTGCTGCGACGGTAAAATGACTATAGCTTATTTTCTGACAAGGCTGGAGCCTTGCCGTTTTTACCATTCGGTTCAGCTTGCTGAGCTCTATAATATGAGGTAGGTCTCGTCAGTGACGTGAACGGCCAATGTAAATGGTAAATGCTTTTATATGAACTTAGCCTAGTCATCAGTGCCGGAAACATCCCTCTCCAGCTACCGAATGATATATAAAGTGGCGTGGTTAACGATAAAGTGGCTGGACAATGTAAGCGATGAACGCTGTTGATCTATTCGTTCTTTAGATTCTCCTACTTCATCATCGATTGTTGATTACAACAGTATATTCAATTCGAATAATAACAATTTGCTCGATTTTATTTCTGAAATTGATGAATTGTTAAAACCTAAAACGAATCTACCATCTTCATCAGTTGTTTCCGTTCATTTGCCGTCATCGTCTAATGCTCCTCTTAGTTTACAATCACTACCACGGCACGATGCCATATAAAAAAAAGATTTGTCTCGGATGTTTCCTGAATAACGTTTGACAGAAAAGTGGTAGATGCTTGCGGTCTTCCCCAGTTGGACGCCAAAATCTGACTGCATCTTTTTACCACGCAAGTCATATTCGAAATATTTTTCTAAAATAGATTTCTCAGAGGATCTTTGGAAGACTATGTCATAGCTCAAAAACTTGAAATACAAATAATTTGATTTTTTTCCATAGATAGATAGTCCAAAGTGTCCTCTTCAAAACGCGACTCGAGCGAGGCCCTTGTCTTTGATCGTTTAGGCATGGCGGCGGATTTCTTGGAAGCTCTA